GTGAGTGCGAGTACGTGTGGTTACAGTGTTTATTTCTTGATATTTGATCAGGTTTCGATGTGTGCCTGTTCATTTTCAATAACCACATCCTTCCTGGAGGGCAATCTGCACATGACATGTTGTTACATCTGTCTGCAGAAAAAAATGTTACTCACTGCTCTACTAATGGCTGATAAATTATTGACCCATTCTTTATACATCTTTCATGAGCACAGCTTGATTTCTGGGTTGTTTATCCTTCTCCAATGTGGCCTTGGAAGAGGTAGTAAAAGTTAATAAAGGAAAATAGTTCTGGACTACTAAAACAAAACTGTTGCAAGAATGAATTGTCTGCCGTATCATCCGGACATCATTTACTGTTGTTGAGCAGTTGCTTGGATCATGGCAGTAATATGCTGTATCAGAGATGCTACTTCTGTAATTCAATGTATTACAACTAGGAATGTATTACAACTAGGAGTGTACTAGGAGTACAACTAGGACTATTACAAATATAGTCAGCCCACAGTGCAATAAGTACCTTGGATATTTGGTCTGATTTTTGGGTTCACTCTCTCCCCGTCTGCATCATGCAGGTAACATCTGGAGTCTGCGTGTGTAACAATCAGCGGCTTCATGTTAACTGTAACGCAGTCTGATGCTGTAAACTTACAACCTCTGTACGTTCCATTTGAGAAGCGACAAGTGTAAATTTCTCTTCCTCGTCTCTCTCAAGAGGTATTTTAAAACCCGAGGCTGGTGGTCCCCATGTTGGAAATCCTAACTCTAACTAACTTCCAGCTACCTTATAAGCATGCAACAAGGTGGAGTTTTGTTGGACTGAATAAATATCTTGGTTACTGGTACACGTCCATCTAGCCAACAGTTTAAGGTCAGTAATGGGATTTAATTAGTGAAGCCTATACTCAGTGCAAACAGCTACAACACGCCCAGAGTCTTCTCAGCCACGCCCCTTATCATACCTAGTTTGTACTTAATGAATGAGCCACAGAGACCAAACCCGTTTAAAGAGCCATGCTGTAAAAAAAAAAAAAAAATACTCTATGTTTCCGTTGAAAAGTTGGGGCATTATAATATGGGCTCTAATGGGTATTTCTTTGTTTTCGGAGCAAGCCTCAAGTGGACACTCAAGGAACAGCAGTAGGGTTTTTGGCACTTCCATATTGGCTTATTTTTATTTTACCGTTTATGATTTATTATCACTTAATTTGCCATTTGTATTCTTTATTCATAGTTCAGTCAGTTGAAGAAAATGTATATTGTCTGTCACAAATTTCTAACACCCTTCAGGGATAGTAAATAAAGCTCCACATAAATAGTAAATCATTTATTGGGCTCATAAGGGTGCTAGTTCAAAAGTCATGTACTTCTCTGTCTAGATCTTCGTCCCATAGGTCTGATCTGCTGTTCTGGGACAGATCCAGAGTGTTGATGTTTGAAAATCCCTCTCTGCTTCATGGGCCTCTCTTCTCTTTTCTGGAGTGTGTTCATTCATCCGGTCTCATCTGAGGTGCTTTATTCTCCTGCTGCCTCTGTATGACTTTCTCTCTCTCTCACCCCGCCTCTCTCTCATACCTGCGAACCCCCACCCCAAATCTCTTCACATACTCACACATTCACTCACAAGGGGCATCCAGACCTCAGATCCAAGCGTCCCACTGTTGCCATGGATACCACTTCGTACCCTGTCAGCACTTCTGAGCTCTGCCTGGAGCGAGGTAATTCCTCCCCCTCCTCCCCCCTTCAAACCCTCCTCTCTCCTTTCTTTCCTCTTCTAAGAAAGAAAAAAAATACCATCCTCCGTTCCCGAGAGGCATGACTATTCTGTCTCAGATTCATTCACCCACAATGTTTGGCAGCAGCAATCTCCTCCCCTCCTACTCCCACTCCCACTCTATACAGCCTGCAGAAGTGTGTGTGCATACACACTCTCTTACAGACAGAGACACAGTTCAGGGAAAGGAGATGGAGGGAGAATCTGCATCTGCTGCTGATTGCAACCACACAGGATGAGTTAAATGCACATATTTCCCTAGGTTTCCTTTGGGAACACATGGAGCTAGTTTCATGCAAGCTAAGCCACAAAGAGAAGACCTTTCTTCTTGAGATTTACACTGGCAGAAATTCTGAACGTCTTACTGATGTGCATAATTTGACCTTTATGTTTCTGCTGCAGGCACGTGAATAACATGAGCCTTAAGACAGCAGTTCGGGCATAAAAGCCGGTTTAAAACTATGCTTGAGATTTAGCAGATGAAGAAAGATTACCACTTCACCGTTAGAGAAGTGAACTGTAGGCTGAACCCCGGGGATGAATGATGTGATAATAATGTGATACTTCCCTTACAGGGAAAATTTGGAGCCTAAATCAGGCTGAGCTTTAAACCAGCTGGCAGGAATTCCGTATTGTTTAAAGACACTTTAGCAGTGGGGCAGGAGGCTAAAAACCAAAGACCTCGAGCATAACGACGGTGAGGCTGTGAAACATAAGAAATAGAGATGCTCTAATACTGACACAACCGTCTGGAAACCTTAAATCAAGGTAACAGTCAAGATCAGACACACCAGTGTATGTAACAATCTGACCCCATAGCTTCTTTCTTTTTGTAAACGTAGCGCTGGAATGGGATGAGCTGACGCTAGCTTAGCTTGTTTGCAGTTATGGCTTCCTTGTTCATCCTTTGAAGGTTTTTCCTGAGAGCCTAATTATCAGAATAGGTCCCCTTACCTTTCAAATAAATGGGCCTAGTGACTAAAACCAAAACAAGTAGTAGTAATAGTAGCAGAATTAAACAGCTGTTAAAAACAGTATTTTGGATATGGGACTTTGGACAAGCTTGTACACAAGAGCTGGTATCCAAATGAGCTGATCAAACACAATTCCAGTATTTGCATCTGCCTGAGATATTACCTTAAATTCTGTGCTAGGTATCTGCAAGCACATCAGTCAATGCATCAAGCCAATACCATTAGACAACCCCAAAGATCAACTGAAATAGTTAGGTGCAAGCTAAAAGTATAATGGTCAATGGTAACAACATTTCAGCAATCCTTTTTTTTTTTTTTTACACTAATAAAATATTTTTTGGGTATAGGAAGGGTAATTGGTATTGGCTGATGTTTGAGTTTAGGTAGCTGTATCAGTATTAGAGAGGGGGGAAATGATTAAGGTTCTCTGTCAAGTAAAACACTTTGAGGAATAGTACAGTCAACACAACTGCAAACTGCCCTCTAACACACTCTACCTCAAGGTAATAGGTAACTGCACTCATCCACACAGAGAGTGACCCATGAGACTATCTATAAATATTCTCTAAGAGTCAGGAAGATTGAGCTTCTGCGTTTATATCAGGTCAGAATATTAGAGATCTGGCTCATGATTATGTCCATAATCCATGGAACTTCCTTGCTATACTTAGATGCTTTAGCCTTGAAAGGACCACACATACACGTTCACATCTTAACTTCCACACAGCATTATACCGATATCCCTACAGCATAATGGACCTGCTGTTTCAGGGGATCAGCTGAACGTGGACGTAGCAGGAGCACAGGCACAGCTGGGATCGCTGGTCTTTGCATCGAGGGGCACATTACGTGGTTTTATCCTTTCTATACATAGACCTGGAAGTATTCTTGGAGCCACCAGGCACTCGCTGCAAAGATGACTGACAGATGGAGGGTTGATATTATGTCAAAGACTGGGTAAACCCAACTGAACACATTTTATAAGCGGTTCAATTTGAGGAATAGCTTACTGACGGGGAATGGCATAAATCTTTTAGCTGACAGCTCGTAATACACAACCAGGAAGCTTGGGTACAACAAGTACATAAGTCATAAGAGGATAGTGTCTTGGGGAGGGTAAGCTGATAAAGTCACCTGGTGATGACCACGTACTTAGGGTCATAAAGTTTAGCCGTTTGTTAAAGTCCAACTGCATCAGCAGATGTCATAACAACCGTCGCTTACACTCAAAACTAGAAAAAGAACAGCTAATCTCCTTTGAGAGTCTCCAGGTTCACAACAAGTCATAAATTAAGTTCACAGTAGACTCAATAGATTGGCTCAGACGAGTATGTAGTTTTGGATGAGGTGCCGGTGCAACCAAACCTGAAATAGGGCACACAAATCCCAGTGCAAAACAATTTAATTAGTTGGAACATGTCTGAACATGTCCCATAGGACAAAAACAATGGTTTAATTTTATGTGGCTCCCTCACTACCTTTTACTTATGATCACAGTTAATCAGTTCTAAAATAAAAATGCTGCCTCTTAGATATTTCAATGTAGCCATGCATATATATTTTTTATACCTAGCCAGGATGTAATTTACCTCCTTTAATTTCCATCTGATAAAATAATCCATTACTGGACTTTTTTTTTCGGTTTCGTGGCTGTTTTTTAAATGACAACTCTACAACATCTACTCAGTTGTCATTCCATCGACATTTCTTTTGACAGGTCCAAACAACTATCACCGCTATAACGAATGAGCTATAAATATAACACCAACATTAATGCAGACTTGATGATGTGATAAATGAGTGACTATTGAGCTTTAAGAGCTTACTGGTTGGCCTACACGTTCAAGCAATAGTAAAATCAATGGGAGCCATTGACTGACCTGAAGCACAGGAAAATAGCATCAACAAAGTTTGTTTTTATTTTCAAAGAGACGAAATGGGCAGAACAAATAAAAGATTTGACTAGTCAAACATGAAGGCAGAAGTCGGATAGGACCATATCAGTTCAAAGAAACAGTGCCACAGTTTCCTTCACTAGATGGGCTGGAAATCCACAAACCAAACTGTGGGAACCGCTGGGATGTAAAGCTCACCATCACTGTCATACTGGGGCCTATGAAGAAAGCTACATTCTTAACACTATGAAGAAGAAGAAGATCAAACAAATGCTCCTATTCTACACCTTTTGAGTGACCCCCCCCCCCAGGGGAAAATGTAAATGATTAAGGGTGAAAAACTGTCAAGTCTCTTACCATGTCCGCTGGGGTGCAGCTGCTCGTCATCGTGAAGGTTTTCCCGATCCTCGAAAGGGATTCACAACACACTCTTCCACACTCTCTCTCTCTCTCTCTCTCTCTCACACACACACACACAAGGCAAGGACACAAATATATCCCTTCTTCTTCTTTTTTTTCGTCTCCCCTTGGTGAAAGCTCACGAAACTCTTGAATCCAAGTCGTTTATTTTGTTTTACAGAAGCAAACAAAAGACAGAATGTATCCCAGATGGTGACTCGCACTCTTCCACTGTCACAACACTTGAGGTAGTCGGTACGTGTGTAAACGCTTCTCTTCCCTCACTATTGCACAATCATTTCGTTGATCATTTTCCATTCGGAATTCGGTCAAATTTGAGTGTGTAGTTAATGATAGTTGGATAAGCGGTCGACCCCGAGGGCCTCCTCCAACTCTCCAATCATCAAGAATCTGCCGCTGTAGAAAAGGTGCCTACGCCATGCGAAAAACTAAATACCGCTGGCACATCCGGACTCGGATCTTTTTCGCTCTTGGTGGAAAAAAAAAAAAAAAAGAAGAAACTATATCCGTAAAAAGGTTGACGGTTCACGTCCTCTGACAAAAACAAAAACACTCAAACGCTTCAGTCAGTTGTTCAAAACGCGACACACGATGAAATGTGCCGGTCCCTCTCCTTGGAAATGGGAGTTTGTGGTGATTTGTTGTTAATTTACTGACTGCAGCGCTGTACCTTTGAGACCCGTTCAGCTGTCATCCTGCCTCACCAACCTTACGTCAATACCGTGACGTAAGACGACACGGGACTTCCTGTTACATATTTCAGAATAAAACACAGGACATGTTGTATTATTTCACAAAAGTATATTTCATATTGTCTAATGGTGGATCGATGGATTGCAAAAGTGCCCTCCTGGACACGGGTGGGTGCAGTAACTCTGAAGCTAACTTTTCAAAAGTACAATCAGTTTACTGCACATTGCACATTTTGCACAAGTTTACTTTTTTTTTTTTTTTTGTACCATTTTGTACCTTTTGCACAATTTAGAATTTATTACTGTAAATATTATTTATTTCTTTACCTCTTTTTATTTTATCTATTTTACCTTATCTTATTTACCTTATTTTGGTTGTATTGCACCGTGGGACGGAGACAAACGCAATTTCGATCCCACCATATGTCTGGCATATTTTTAAATTGACAATAAAGTTGACTTTGACTTTGAGGGAGTGGCCAGAGGTGGCCTTGGCCGTGCTTTAAATGGTAGGCCTAAATGGTTTTGTATTTATATAGGCGTAGTGCTTTTCTACTGTTCATGACCCCTCAAATTCCTTACACATCACATTCACCAATTCAGACACACATTCACACACTTACTGCAGAGGATGCTATCTTAAATAAAATGCCAATCAGCATTGACATGCTAATCAGCATCAATGCCATTTATGCTCACTGATATCTGCCCAAGGACACTTAGACACATGGACAAGAGAATTGCCAACCCCCTGGTTGAGATCGACTCTACCTCTGCGCACAACTGCCCTGAAATCTGATAGACTACATCATTAAACAAAGACCAACACATTACAACGCATAAAATTAGTGTTGGGGTTCTTCAAATGTCTTTTTCTAAAATCATCACTGGGTTTTTAAGCATGCAAGGCAGGTAACCCTCATTGGTGATCAATTTCACCTTCTAAAATGCATCAATTTAATCTTCTATAACGGCTGCCCTTAAAATGGAGTGCTTGGCCCTCTCTGTCAGCAGAGAGAACATAATAAAGAGCCTTTTAGCATGTCTGTTCAGAGGAGAAAACATTAGGGTAAAGCAGGATGTCCAGATAGTCCTTCCAGATGGGAAAATGGGAAAAGGAGTCCTGCAAAATTTACTCCATTTTTTTTTTTTTTTTTTGTCATACAATTTGTGTGGAAGGCTGTTCTTGTGACTTTGTTTTATGAAGGTTATGTTTTGGAGATATTCATGAAAATAATAATTACTTTAATAAAGTACGACAACGTGGAAAAACAATCTTCTAATAATATCGAGTAACAACACAGCTCAAATAAATACATCCTTTTTTTGTACACATCACTAAACATAATACCTTCGAAGTTCTATTTTGAAGTCTAAGTAGCTCTGAATCCGGGTTTTATGTCTGTCAAAGTGCTGCTTGATGCAGCCCCTTTAAAAACATGGCGGCAGTCCTCAGCTCGGGGGGCTGCATCAGAGAGGAGTGTCTGAAGTAACGGGAGATCATTGGGAGAGCGTAATGCGGAGAACCCCGCACACACCTCCGGAGAAACTAGGAGGATGGGGGGAGAAGGTGGAGTTGTCTTTTTACTGAGAGGATCAAAGGTGTGGGAAATAGGAAATGAGAGCTTACTGGAGAAGGAGGAAATCCAGCTTTTAATATTTGATAGATGCAAATTTTTGCAGTTCAAAAGTGTGGTCCACAGGCTACTGGTAACCACTGCATAAACGTGTCTCTTTGCAGTGCTTACTATATGAAAATGAATGGTTGTTCTATTTTTTTTTTTTTTTTCAAGACAAACACAACATTAAAAGGAAAAAATGACATCAACCCTCCCGTTCATTAAGGGTGAACACCCATCTGTCCCACACACATTTTAAAACTTGTGGTGATCGTGCCAATTAGTCGTACTGGTTATGGCAGGATTTTATAATGTCGGTCCATGAAGTACTCATTTGTTCCTGTTTTTATTATAGGCTATGTATGTTGTTATTTTGTTGACGTAAAGCACTTCGTGACCTTCACTGTGAAAAGTGCTATATAAATAAACTTTAATGTCTTACTTACTTACTTACTTTTCCCACTCAGTAGCGGTGAATTTTCCTGAATATTTCTTGCTGCATTCACACATCGGCTTAACAACATTTCTTCCTGAAGTTTTACGATGTGGCTGGCAGGACAATCTAGGATAAAGTCAAGATGGAACTATTAGAGTTTAGTGTTCACAAATGCAGTATGAAAATGTACTGAAAAATATGCATGAGTATAGTTTATTGTAAGTGATCAATGTCTTACAGGATAACAACTGTCCACAAACAACTAATCAATGAATAATAGTGGACTGCATTTTCTGTCATGGTTCAATAATGGCCTTTGATAGCATTAGTGATTTTGGGGGCTGAATAAAGGATTTAATGTATCTATACTACAATAAAGAACATGATATAGAGAATATATCTAATATTTTGATAAATCAAAATTAATGTCAAAATCAAAATCTAATGCATATGTAATATAATATCCTGTCTGTGCAGACATGATCTTTCTTGTGTGTGCGCATGTGCATATGTGTGTGTGTGTGTGTGTGGGCCCTGTTTCCGTCAGAGGTTGAGATGTGTATCAGCAGCAGGTCTGTCCTCTCTCTGGTGGACTGAGTGAAATCCATTGTGGCATCAGGAGTGGCTTTTTCTCTGAGATCTACAGGATTAACCACCTAATCTCCCCACCATAAAGAGAGAGTGGAGAGGGGGTAGTGAGTCTAACACACACACACAAAAGGGTAAGCATGCCTGCACAAACACAGTGAGGTGTGAATGTGTTTTTGTTGGCCATGTTTTCAAAATTAAGGTCAATGTGTGGTTTTCAGCCACTAAGCCAAGTGGGGCAGCAACCCGAAGCTATTGTCTTTATAGACTCATGATTTATTTATAATTGGTTGTTTTAAGACACACAAAATGACAAATATTTCTAAACCCTCAAATTCTGCGTAGGTAAGCATGAAACTGCTTGCTTTGTCTGACCAAAGCTACTACATATAATAATATTAAAATAGTCGTAGCAAATCTCCTCATTTTAAAAGCTTTATATGTGACAAATGAATGATGTGGTTGGTGGATTCATCAGTAAATCAGCATATGTTTTCATATACACATTCTCCCTGTTGAGCCTATACTCTCATGCATGTGTACAGGTGTGTAAACTGGGTGCTTGCACATAAACAATGCACCAACCACCTCAGTCATTATTTAGTAAGTCTTTGACTTAAGTGCAACTCTATAAATTATAGAAATGCAACTTATGTCTTTCACATTATATACAAAGGTACTAAAAGCATTACAACAATCATATTAAGAAGTACGTGCCAGTGTCTGCAGAAATACACTTTCTATCACCCACTTTCCTACTTGTACTTTCACAAACTGCCATTTATATAGGTTGCATGAATATGAACATGAAATACATGCATTCATTTTTTTTTAAGTTCGTGGCTGGCAGCAGCTAATAATGTCGGTATTTTGAGCAGCTGTTTAAAAGACACAACAGTGAGGGTTAGTGTCACAAAAGTCTGACACTTTAGCCATTACATAAAAGTTGTACATATAGTGTTCTTACATATTACATAATCAGCTTTACTAACACATTTTAATCAGGCACTATATAAAATATCTAGTCATTAATTGTAAAATGTACATAAATGGATCTGTTAGTTGTTCAAAAATCAAAGTTATTACATTAACTTTTAACAATTTTTTGGTTTTTTTTCAGTATTGGTTAATGGTAGTTATTACAAAAGTTACCTGCTACAATACCTCTTTAAAAGTGCAGGTACAATGTAAAGCATGGTATACAATAAAATACTCAAAATATAGTGTGCTGCTTTCTACTCTCAAGGATTTCTTGCAGTCCAACAAACTAACACATTCAAAACTTAATGTCCAATAAAGGGACCCAGGAAAAATCACCGTGTCTGAATGATTTATGGTAAAGTTCTAACGATTTAGCTGATTCTACTCAGCATTTATTGAGCTTGTTTTTATTCTGTATATTACATGAGACTGGGTGTAAGAAGCCCAGTCTGACTTCACATTCAAACAGAAGTGCTTGTGTATAATCTGCTGGCTGTCTCATATGTTCCAACCAAAACCTGAATGAACCTAGACAGAATAAACACAAGTCTGTGTGTGTGTGAGTGTGTATGTATGTGTTTCTCTATCTATGCCGCCTGTGTTTCCCTCCTCAGCAACTTGCCTGTACTTGTTCCATAGTGCCGGTCGGTGTAATATGAACCAGCAGGTCACCTTTACAGTGCCTCAGAGCCCCTCTTTAAGGTCTGCTGATCAAATATAAATGTTACATTTTGTGTTAAGACAATACCACTCTGTAATCCTCTTAGACTCTGCTCTCACTTAAACTTTCGTCTGAGCACCTGCTGCCTCATTCAGACCACACACAGACAAACTGTTAACATGAAGCACATGTAGCATACATCTCATAAAAAAGGACCATCATTAACAGGGTCTTGTGTTTGAAAAGTCGAAAGGGCATGATAATAGTACAGCAGTTCATTGCACACTGTCAGAGAAGAAGATACACGGATCTATTTCTGCTCCCAGTGTCACTACATGACAGTTGCTGCTTTTTGACTTTGAAGGGCGGCATGCGCTACGCACTTTGTGGTTACCACTGATCCATATATAAACACTGACGCTGATCAGCGCCTGGAGATCCTGCTGCTTCGCTTCACACAGATTATTAACATGAACCATGTGCCATCGGCTATTCTAAGAAACTGAGGCAGACTTTGAGCTCTGACTGTGGCTGTGCAAAGGTTGGTGCTGCTTGGAGCCACCAAAGCAACACAACACCCAGCGTGACGTTTCACACTGCCCTGACTGGAAGGACAATTCAGAGTAGCTCTCGTAGAGGACATGTGGACAATTTGTCCCGACCATAAACCCACAGTCATGTTTGTGTCCCCGTCCTGCATGTCTCCTGGATGCCCATCTGATCCTTGAGTTGGAGA